GATACTTGATTAAAAGGTACTATCTTTGTATCCTTAACACCTAAGATACATAATGAGACTTAAGTGTATGGAGTGTTGTGCTTTTATATAGTCAAATGTTGATCCTTAACTAGGCATTTATAAGAGCCATTTTCAGGTATGGTGTGAACTATGCAATATGCTTATGTAGTCAAGATGGGATTTTTTTCCTCTTTATGTGTTGAGTGTTAGACATCTAACACACGTTACCCAAAGTTGAATTACAAACAAGATTGATTGTGATCCAAGGATCATGTTCAATAGGATGTCATAACAAAGGGATAACTGATAAACTTACCTTATACATCAATTGAAGCTTTGAGCTTTTGGGAATTAGATGTTGATGAATGACATTCTTCGTCATGTATTATTGAGGACAATGAAATGCTGCTACACGTTCACCACTTTCTATATCAATCAATGATGAGTCTTGTGCAAGTGGGAGATTGAAAGATCTAGTATGCTCAAGAGTCATTATAAAATGATATTGCTAATAATATATGATCCTATAGGGTCACACCTTATAGCAAGTTACCATCAATTGATTATTTAATAGTATAATTTGATCATTAATAAATATGCATCAACACTTGTATTTAATTGGAAAAATATTATTTCATGAAAATAGTATTTTACTAATTGGGAATTTATTATATATGGAAATAATATTTATTGTAGAAATAGCAACTTATGAAATATATCAAAAAGTATGATTATTTATAAGTTATATTTATATCTTATTAAACTAGTTAGAGTTTATTTATATAAAAGGTAGTTTTATATATAAAAAAAGATATTTATACAATATGACTAGTTATATGTTTTATAAATATTAAAATCACTTTATATAAATGATAGGCTTTTATATAAAGTTAATATATATATATATATATATATATATATATATATATATATATATGTATACATACATACACACACACTTAACTAGCAATGAATAAAGAAATTATTCATCACTTTTTGGCCTCTTTGACCTTATGGCCGAATTGACATGAAGCATGAGTCTTACATTTCTTTTTCATTGCTTAATATATGTTCCATAACATGCTTTTACTTTAGCTTTATTTTCATTCTTTTGGTCTACACTTGATGGCACATAAAAGCAAGACTTGCTGGTGTTTTGTGTGTGCTTTTGAACTTGCTTATTCCTCTTATTTTTGGAGCATAAAACCGAGAGCAAAACACTCTCATGAGGCTGCCAAATTTTGAATTTGCAAGGATCCTATTCCCTTATTCCCTTCTTCCAAATGGTGTTAGATATGAATACAAATAAGTTGCTTTCTATTAAGACTTATGTGGATATGTCTTAATAGCATAAAAGTAACTTATTCACAAGTGAAATACTACCATGTTTTGATAGTTCTACTCTTTCTTGGTGGATACTTCTAGAGAATTCTTCAAAGGTTGTTATGCTTTATCTTCTATGATTGTTTTTAATCTTTCTAACTCTTGCAAAATGATCCTTTTGTAGAAATAAAACTAGTTTTATTTTGTTCAAATATTAAGTCTTAAGTTGCATTGTTTTTGTTTTTGAAACAAATTTTTGAATAAAAACCCAACAACACCGACCATCACCCTAATGAATGTATGTCGTACATAAATGCAATAAAATAGAAGTTCAAATAAATGTCTCTACCATAAGCCCTTCATCAAACAAGAAAATGCAATAGGCTGAATAAAACATTCTAAGGCTATTTAGTCTTAACAATGCACCACCCTAGTGCATTCATCAAATAATTTCAAGTATCAGCATAAACCATAAATCATCTAATCATATAAAAGACATATAAAAGGCATCTTTCCTAGAAAAAATTCTATCATGCATCCCTGAGCAGATCCCTAGCTCTATAATAACATGCAATTCATATAATAGCATACTAAGACATACCATTCATGTATGGTTATTCTAGGAATCACTTACTTGAGATCGGCTGATTGCATACATTGCGCCCCTTTCTTTGTAAAAACTTTTTAGAAAATCGTGTTCTTTTAAAAGATTTTATTAATCCTCAGTTCGAGTTCGGACATAATGTAAAGTGTGTCTGAATCCCTCAAACCAAGACTCTTATACCAACTTGTAACGTCCCAAAAAAAATACTAAGTGACAAATTTCCTTTTTAAACAACCAAACCATCATTCATTCGATCCGAAATATTAATCAGAGTATATTGTATTCTCAAAGCATTAGTAATAAATCATAAAAGATAGTGCGGAAAACTTCGTGGAATGCAATACGATCAAGCCGAGCCCTTCCTTTTTGAACCAGAAGTACCTAAAACATTTAAACATAAATTGTAAGCACAAAGATTAGTGAGTTCCCCAAAATACCACATACCATACATAATATAACTAGTTTATTGCAACTCCAAGTGAATGCTATGGGCCAAATCATAGTTTTACAGTCACTTCCTGCCATGGGCCAAATCATGGTCGTTTCATATAAGTGTCAGGGGCTAGATCCTAATCATTCATATATTTTCCATGGGCCATATCATGGTCTTTCATATAAGTTCTAGGGCCAATTCCTGATCTTCCATACAAGAGTCACTAAGACAACTAGCATCCTACATAGTATAGTGAGAAAACTCACCTTAATCACTCGTAACAAGCTACACCACTAATCGTAAGCTCGGAAGGCTCGTGCTACACACCACCTAAAGAATCACCCAATGTCAACCCTTAATCTACACTCTAAAACTAGCAATTTGATCAAACATCAACCAGATCAAAAAGTCATCGGTCAACGGTCACCACGTCGTGGCTAACTCATGGCCACGTTGTGGCAGCTGAACAAAAAAACAATCGCAAGTCCCCCCTTCACAATGTTGCGACGAGCATCTTGCTATGTCGTGGTTTCTGCTCTTGGATAACTTAATGGACTAAGCCCTTAATTTGTTAAGCCGTCAACTCTAACTTTTGAAAAAGCTTATTAGGACCTTAAAGGCTCATAAAATGGCCATGCATGCCCTATGCATGTCATTCCCTCAACCTACTTCAAAAGATGGGAAAATGATCTAAAACTCATGCATGACTTCCAAAATTCTCCCAACTTCTAGATCCAGAAGATATAATGCTTTTGGGACCTTGGTGAGTCATAAAGTTGCTAACTTTATCCCACTCAACCATTCAAATCTTAACCATGAAACAAAATAGGATTAATAAGCTAGATCTATAAGAAAGGAACCAACAAAATGGGAACTTGAGGACTTACAAAAAGTCCAGAACATGCACACAAGGAGTGGAGATGAATTGCTTGCGTGATCTTTGCACCAGAGCCCCTTCTTCTTCCTTCCAAGATCACAAAGTCACCAAAAATGAGTAAAAAGCTTGAAGGGAGGCTAGGGTTTTATCAACGACACTTTGGAGGTGATAGAGGCTGAGGGTAGACGAAACCCTATCCATCACATCCTTTGAATAAGACCTTAAGCCCGAAAAATTAAGGTTTGAGCCTGGGACATCGCCATTTTTTGGCCACTATACTGCCTCGTCATGGCTACTTAAAATAATCTTGAACAAAAAGTGGTTGCCACAACCATGTCGTGGCCACCAAAAGTCCACAAGATTTAAGCATTGAAATTCGTACCTGAAAAAGCGGATGTTACACTAATGGCTTCATACCAGTCTTTTGTAGATTTGCTCACTCTAATTTGAAAGCCCACAGTAACACATTTGAATCCTAAATTACACTTAATTTCTTCTTTGCTTTTGAAGAGTTCATAGAGATTCACATAAGAAGAATAATTATGGGCTACAACACCTTTACGTTTTTGTTGAGCTAATTCGGGCAATGGTAAAGGTTCAGGCATCTCGTAATCAGTGGTTTGTGTTTCTTCAAAATTAGAAAAATAATAAGGATACTTTTCCTCTTGGGATTTTCGAGCTTTTAGGGGCTAAATTTCCTCATCTTCAGATTCAGTCTCATCCACAAAAAATTCAATGAAATTCTTGAATTGTTTAACTTGCACTCCAAGTGGAATTATATTGCTATCATCAACTAACAATATTAGTTTGGTCTAATCATTTGTAGATTCATCAACATCAAATGCTGGAGAAACATCATCATCAACTTTACCTTTATACCTAAAAGCACCCCATTTACGAGATCATTATAATAAAGATCGTGATTCAGTTTCATAGGTAGTAAATTAAAGTTTTGGGTACTTCCAGCACTGAAAGACCCATTGCCACCCGAACGATTTTCTATGAGAAATCGTTGAATACCATTTTTCGTAACATTATTAACAACAATTGTAATGTTTACGAGATATACTACTAACAAAACTAAGAAAATATCTACCAATACTATTGTCAAGAATCTGCATATTTATATTTAATCCAAGATATTGAAAATATATATATATTTGATTATTGTTTAACCTGGACTGGGAAACAATCAACGTAATTAACTCACTAAAGTTGAGATCACTGCTTATATCTACACCAAAACATGTGTATTTTGGAGCAATATAGATCCCTCAATTCACTTCAATTTCCATTCACTAGAAACTGACACTCGAAAAAAAAAATCCTTATACGAACTCATTTTGTAGTATCCGAAAGCTAATTGGGGTTTAAACATTAATAAACACAATACACAAACAAAGACAAAGGTATATGTTGTTTATGGAGAAACAAGGAAACTATAAAGAACCTAATTTTAATACTTCGTAATGACCGTACATTCCGGAGTTACATTTGAAATACGTTTTTCCAGTCCGGAACATACGAGTGATTCCAGACTAGAATCTAACAACCACCACCAACTCCAGAAATTTCATAAGTACTTCGGAATATCACATTTAGAAGTAAATAGTCATTTTATAATTTTCATAAAAAAATTAGTTATTTTTTTCTAAATACTTCATTTTTTTTTGGTATCAAATAATACATATAATTTAGTTCGATATCTGATGTTAGCCCAACTTATATGGGCTGGACCATGAAGGCCCCAACATTAAAATATGGAGCAACAAGCAACCGACTACTCTCCTCGTTCAGTCCTCCCCTTTCTCCTCGGTAATGGAGTCTCCAAACCCCGCTTCCTCTGCAACCCCCAATCCTTTCGCCTTCTTCCACCAACATTTTCAACGTCTAAGCTCCGACATCTCTACCCGTCTCGACGAAACACGGCGAGGAATCGCCAAAAACCTTTTCCCATTTCAGCCACATAAGCCCCATCGTTGGTCATTGCCTTTTGCTTCGTTGTCACAGCAACAACAAGACGACAACAATCTTCGCAGCGGAAATCATGTGTTTGACTTGGCCCTAAGCACTGCCAATGTGTCGAAAACGCTTGCTGGAACAGAGCTGTACACAGTCAGCAATTCCGATAACGAATTCGTCCTGATTTCTGATCCTAATGGACTCAAATCAATTGGGTTACTTTGTTTTCGTCAAGAAGACGCCGAAGCATTTCTTGCTCAGGTATAAGTGTTCGCGTGTGTGAGTATGCGAGTTTGGAACTTAAATTTGTTCATTGTATATGTACATGTGAATTGCAGGTTCGATTGAGGAAAAGGGAGTTAAAAGGGCGAGCAAAAGTTGTACCAATTGCACTTGACCAGGTGATTATTATAGAATTTAGGCTTTGAATTTTAATTGTATTTGCTTACTTGTTTTGGCTCCATGTTTAAAGATCTAAGATTCACTTCGTGAAAACATAATTACCACTGTTAGAACCCCATTTGATTGACTACATTAGGTCAAATGGGTTTGTATGAGATTGAAAATGAAACCATGTGTAGAAATTATATCATAATATGATCCATCTGTCTTATGTTCAATGTTCAGTTTTTAATATATCTGTGCATTCTTTATGTGTAGGTTTATATGTTGAAGGTTGAAGGAATTGCATTTCGATTTTTACCTGATCCTGTTCAACTTAAGAATGCAATGGAGGTTAGTTCTTTGTATTCCATGTTATTATACTTCCTACATACATTTATTATAGTGATTAATTAAGAGTAATTGTTTATTGATTATAGTTGAGAACTTCTAATACCAAGAATGGGTTTGATGGAGTCCCTGTTTTTCAGGTATGAGAATTTACTTTTTGGATATAATCAAATGAGTTATCTTTCTATTTCAATACAAACAATGTACTTATATTTCCTTGCTTATATTATATGTAGATTGCATATTTCTATTAATGGAAAGGAAAAGTAAACTTATTACTTATATTTAATTATTTTGTTTCTTTACACAGTCAGACCTCCTGGTTATAAAGAAGAAAAACAAACGTTACTGCCCTATATATTTTCGAAAGGTTTGTGTTTGACTTTTCAAACTTCCTAAAATTAGCAAGGCACTTTAATCAGCTTGCATATATGCAGGAGGATATTGAGAAAGAATTGTTAATGGTTCCACGAGGACCAAGAGGACCCGCCATTTCACAACATATCATGGTATTATTATAATTTTTTTTTTACTTTTGTTGCTATTTTTTTGTTTTTTTTTTTTTATTTTTACTTAATGGACCTAATGGGGATATGCCCTATTTATGATGTCTCTATGTCCTTTGCAGGTGGGATGTTTGGAAGATGTTTTGAAAAAAATGGAGGTAACTTTTTACTTCTTGCTAATTACAATGTCTCCCAATTCATTTTTTGCTTATTTTTTTATAGTAAAGATTATTTAGCAAATTAACATATTTTTATTGTGTGGTGGCAGATGAGTGAGAAAAATTCTGGTTGGGAAGATCTAATTTTCATCCCTCCTGGGAAAAGTCAATCGCTACACTTGCAGGAAATTGTAAACGCATAAAAAAACATTGCTTCATTTTTCATAATAATTCAAGATCAAAAGCAAGCCCAATGTAGCATTTTCCAGTCTTGTTGGAAAACACAGGTAATTTTATCATAAATGACATGACATGACATGACAGTACTGGTATTGACTTGGATTGGACTGGGACTAATACTGATGTCAGTGGGACATATAGACCAAATGGATTCATTCCCTCCTTTTAATGCAAATTTTATCATTTTGTTTAGGGTTGTTATCATGGTGGTGTATAGCCGTGTAGAAGATAGTGACAAGGATGATGATATCACCAGAAGATGTATTTTGTATATTGGAATCTTGATTGTCGAATGAAAGTCATGCATTTGAATCCTTAATATGCTCTCTATTTTTCATTCTTTTTTTTGGTTCATGTCAATCATATATTCTATAGTTATATTTCTCATCTTTTAGATAATAAAAACAATAAAACGTGGAGAAAAAAAAAATCTTGATTCCCTTCCACACGAAATCATGACCTTGACTGATTTTATCCTCACTTTGATGAAACCCTTAATATGAGACAGAGAAAACGAAAAGTTGTTTTTTCAGGAATGGAGTGCTAATAAATTAAAAGTTTTGGATTGATTCAACTTAGATATCTCAAAACCTTTTAAAAGGTTTTGATGATTCGTCAAGATCTTCTGGTGTTAGAGTTTGTCTAATTAGTATTGTCAACATGGAATTTTTTCTATTTTTTTGAAGGGTTACCATACACACCCTCTAAATTATGCTTTTAAACTACTTTTTTTTGTCCATGATGAGATTTCAACCGTCAACCCTTAGGGGTGAAGGGGGTATCTTTTCAAACATATTGATACCGATAGTCCAAAAATCATTTGGTTACAGTGAAGTTCCTTTTGTTTGACCTGTTCGTAGTCTCACATATGCTATTAGAGAAAAATAATAATAATAAAAAGAGTCATTTGCACCATGGGAGGTGGTGATGGGAATACGCTCCGACGTCTATGTTGTTTGAGTAGAGTTGGAATGAGAGTACATAGAGAAATCTACATACATGTCCCTCTCTATAGATATATAGATGTGCATAGTAGTCATGGCCGATCCATTCTGTTAATGTTAACATTATCTGAATTAGCCATTTGACATTGTTAAGGTTCCTTTGGGTTAGGATATCCTCTTACCACTTGTTGGAAAGGCTTGAGTTTATGTTTATTTCTTTAAGGTGGGTATGTGCCTTTTTGTGGCAGGGTTTGATTTATATCTTTCGGTTACATGTTTGTTTAAAAGAGAAGTTTTGTTGTGAAGATGTCCGAAGAAGACACAATATGCCGAATTTGGTCCTACCGAAGATGTAAAGTTGCTTCGAAGATATTTTGGTCACCAAAGTAGTTGGTAGAGCTTATTAAGCTCATTGGTATAGTTTTTATGGTGTGGATCATTATGCTCCTAAGTGTAATTGTATATTAGCTTGAGCAGTGAGTTGTGTTTAGTTGTCAATGCCATGATTAGACAGACTTCACCATTATGTGTCTATATATAAGTGAACGTCTGTATGAGAAGTTAACGAGTTTTCAACTTTTACACGCTTAGAACGTATGTGATATTTTAGCTATCAAATTGTAATTTTCTCATGTTTAATCAAAGAACTTAAATGTTGGTATTTACATCAACCTATTCTTGTATTTCATACAATATATGATTTGTCTTTAAGTCCAATACTTATCAAGTGGTATCAGAGTAAACATCATTCATCTCTTTCGGGAATTTCTTTTGTATTTCATTACATATTTGAACTCTTTTCTCAAATCTGTATAACGCTTTTGAAATCTAATTCTTTGAAGCTGTTTGAAGATTTTGATCCTGTTTTCTCATAATTCGGTGGAAAATTTCAATACATCTACGATGATTAACTATGCTAATCCTCATGGTTCTTAAGCCAAAACTCCAATGTTATTTTTTTGATCATTATGATCAATGGGAAGACCGAATGGAAGACTATTTGACTAGTTTAGATGAAAATATGTGGAGACCAATTAAAGAAGGTCTATTCAATCAAAATGTTGTTGATTGAATTCGTCTCGGAATCGATAACGAAGTTGCTGAAAATAAGAAAAAAATGATAATGATAAAAGATGCATGTGTGGATTACGTGGTGGTGTTGGGTTTTTATTCAAAAACTAGTTACAAAAACTCAAGATTTAGCTACAGAAGACTTTATAATTTTAGAATAACATAAAGTAGTTTGAACCCACCAAGGATCTTCTTACAATGTTTGGAAAAAAAACATCAACCAAAGAAGAAATAAGAAGATGACAACCTTTGTAGTCCTTTGAATCCTCAAGGGGAGGCTTGAATATTGATGTAGAATGTAAAGTACAACTTCACCTTAAATGGAAACACCAACAAAAACTCAACTTCATAAAGATGCTGGTCAAAGTTCTTAAGCTTTAAGTTCATCTCCAAATATGACTTAAAGAGAGAAAAATGCAAGCAAGTAATATTCTAACACTTCTTTGCAAAAGAGAATATGATAGAGTATGAGGGAGCTACAATTTTGGTCACCAAAAAAATAAAAGAATGAAAGCCTTCATAAAGCTAAATCATTACCCCATTTTCACGGTCATTTTAAAAATTTTATTTATGCTTATTTAAAAAATCAGAGTATTCATTTTAAAAAAATAATATTGCGGAATTTGTTCCAAGAAAACATGATAAATATATTATCAAAGCATTTTCGAAGAAATGTATTTTATTTATATTAAAACATTGGGATGTCATCGTCAATACAGAAACATAAGCATAAACAGACCTTATATTCATTTACACTAGTGATTTACATCTCCTTTAATCTCTCAGTGTAATGTAGCTTCGTATCGACACCTGTGATACAAATAAACTGAGTGGGTCAGGTTGGGAAACCTGGTGAGTACATAGGGTTTTCAACCCATAATAATAAAGTTATTATGGTTCATCATCAAACAATTAACCCAATTACTCATCCCCATTATCTTCTTTAATCTTAAGTATCGTCCCTAAGAATCATTTATTCCTCAATATTTATTCCTAAGGAATAGGCACGAAGTCCATCGCTGCCAGGGTTTATATAACAGACACTAAGTCCATAGTTGCGGGTGTTATCTGTTAGGCACTAAGTCCATAACTGCCAGGGTTTATCTCTTTTATTGACAATATTATTTTAGACCCACAATACATGTCAAATGAGTTTTTAGAGTACATCTGGTGAACACATCGTTCACAACACCTACAAGTTGCGAGTCTGGTAGTGTTCCAATGGACTGTCTAAAATAATATGTGGTTGTCGTCTATACTTTGCTAGATGACTGGGCCATCGCTTGGGTCAAGACTTCTCATCATATTTCACCTCTCATCATCTATATCATCTTTCATCTTTCATCATTCATCTCATCTTTCATCTCTCATCTCATCTTCAATCTACCCATCTTTACCCATCATAATTATAGGTATAAAATACGTATACAGTTTAAATCGAATAAAACATGTATATTTTGTTCATCCAGCATAGATATCAAAAACACAGATAATATGCACACATAGCACGTAATTTATATTAAATATTTCATATCTATGTGTAATATGAAAGTAACTATGCATTCAGTTGTTAAAGCGATGATTCCAAACTCCAACAACGTTTCGCTTCTAACAATTCTATTTTCCTTTGGCAAAACCTAATATCATTACCGCTAGATTTTAATTTAATATTTATAGCGACTATTTACGAGCGATATTGTTTTATAAGTGTTAAACAATACTTTTCAACCAATATGTACAGACAGGGGCCAGATATGAAACACTAAAGGGCAGGTCCATTTTGGCATTATATCACTTCTGAAATCCAACAACCATATCCGACCCTTCAAACCAGATTCCCTATACCGCAAGTAGTTAAAAGATATTATAATAACACTTTGTATATTATATTTTATTATATATATATATATATATATATATATATATATATATATATATATATATATATAGTTTATAAGTTCATAATAACGATATTGGACTTAAACATAAGCTATTCTTAAAGTAGGGTAAGCATAACTCATTTACAATGGAATTTAGCGAAGAACAAGGCTTTGCACGGACAGAACTTCTAAGCCGAAAGCTTTTCTTCTCGGAGTCTTCTGGCGCTCCGGGACTCGCCTCTAGCACGCGGGAAGTGTTAGGGAATTAGAGGGGCTAAGAGGGGTGTTTGAGAGAGAAAGAATGGGAAAAGTGTGAGTTTTTGTGGTGATTTGTGCCTCTATTTATAGGCTAAGTCCGGTTCGAATGCGGGGCGTTCCCTTTCTGAACGCCGGGCATTCGTGGCCAGGTGTCATCATCTGGTGCCAAGTCGTGGTGAGGAATCAGTGGCTCAGATCGCGCCATGTGTCGCTCGCTGGTTACTCCAAAAACTAATTATCTTCTAAAATCCATAATTTTTGCATACAAGCTCCATTTTTTATGTTATTTATATCCACGCGTAGGTATCGACGGGATCTACAACTGTCGTTTACACTCCGTCGGCTAATTTTGACTTTATTTTTAAAGTTATATTTTAACAGACTTAGACAGCTAAAATTCGTTAAAAATTCATAACTTTTGCATCCAACCTCCGTTTTCGACTATCTTTATATCGTTGAGCTCCTATTGATGAGATCTTAAATTCTCATTTAGGCTGTGTCGGCTAAAAATCGATCAATCTAAAATTTGATTTCCAGGCTGTGCACTGCTATGCTAAATGTTAGAAAAATCATAACTTGCTCATACGAAGTCAGATTTGGACGTTATTTTTATGTACGTTCTCGGTTTAACATATACTACAACTTTTATTTAAAACGTAATTTATCAAAAATTCACTTTTTATGTTACACGGTGCCATGCCGGTTTAGCCGTAAAATTTCGACGGGTCATAATTCTTCGTTATAACTCAGATTTCAACGTTCTTTATATGTACGAAATCCTTGTGACATATACTATAACTTAGTTAAGATTATTTATTGTAAATAATCTTCTATCAAAAAGTCATTTGACGCTTATTGTCTATAAATTGAGTAGTTCGAATCTATGGGCGTTACATTACCCAAGAGTTCTTAACACTTTAAGCAATCCATACCATGAAGGATACATGTCTTCCATTCCTCTTAAGTCATGTTTACTTTCCTTTATTATATCAAAAGACCATGTTTTGTTTCCTAGAAACTAGCTCGTCTCTTTTTTGTATAAAAAGAGAAAAGAAGTTTATAAATTTATTATAACTCTTTATAAGATATAAACTTTAACTTTTAGCTAAAAAACAAAAGAGTCTTTCTAGTCCAAAATAGTATACATGGATTAATAAATCATACCTAATGATATATTATGTTACTTGCCATTTAATATTTCTATGAAATAAATAATTTCCAATTAGTTATAAGAGTTTATGAATATTTATTGAAATCAATTTCTA